TGATTAATGCTTTCAATTGTTTAAAATGGCAGTACTCAATCAATATTGTAATGAATCAATAAAAACAAGCTTCCAATATTGTTAATATCAAACAAAATTTCTTCCTTTCAGAAACCTCTTTCAAAGACAGATTAATCATCGTTAAACTTACTTGTAAATGAACAAACTCTCCATAAAGATAAAAAGACTACAGCACTACAGGTTCCCAAGTTGTCTCCAACCTCAGTACTGATGTGGCTCGACGATGCTTAACTTCTCAAATCGGACGGGATGAGGTGCATTCATCGTGATATGGCCGTAGCCATTCATTTCCCAAACACAATGAATATAAGATTGGATATCTTCGTTTACTGGCAGTGGAAATTTCCTTATCTTTCAACAATCTATCAGAAACTAGATTAGATGATCTAGATCCAAAACAAGTTGTTTCTTCCATTTTACACAAAAGCTTTAACTGCCAACAATCAAACTGATCAATGGTCTAGCTCCATTACTCGACAAATGTTAACCCAAAAATTTTCAATCCATCAATGCAGAAGAAACCAAAAACAAGGTAATCATGATTGCAAGTATTCAATAGTTTTGGAAATTAATTCCTAATCTCAAATGGGAAGGTGTGTTTTTTACAATTTTGTCAATCAATATTTTACAAAATATTAAAGTTAGAGAAATGCTATATATTCCAATTTTGGATTTGAATTTTCTCCCAAATAGATATCTTCTTCTTGCTCTTCGTGTTGAAATTAAGACATTTGATAAGAAGGCAATTCCATCATATCAGGAAAACAATGAGAGGAAAGAACAAATGGAACTAAAAAGGGCATCTTGGAATATTTTTAAGGAATATGACACTTTGAAATCTTTGATTATTTTCTCGGTGGTTTTAAGAGATATAACTTTGAAAATTGATAATTGGCTAGATTACATATCATTCCTCTTATGATGAAAAAATTAAAACTCAAATTTTGGAGATAATGTCAAAAATTAATCTCGAGTGCCGGGAATTGAACCCGGGTCGCCAGAGTGACAGTCTGGAATGCTACCACTATACCACACCCGATTTCACATTAATTCTCATTCAACATAATATTTCTAGCTATTCTAAAAAGGAACCTTAATTGTAGCTTTAAGTGTAATATTGCTTTCAATAAAAATTTTTTGATATTAAGGCTGAAGAGTTTGGTAAACTTAAACAATTTAAACTTGTTCAATGGAAACAAGTTCAAGTTTAATTTAAAGAATCAGACAGAGAAATTGTTTTACAAGCTATTTCAATGGGAAAAGTTTACAATTATTCAAATGAAGTTGTTGGTTTTCCATTGGTAATTTTTAAAATAATTATGAGTGTCACTTCAAGTTCATCCTATTGAATCAATGTTTTGATCAATTTGAACAATGAACATTAAAAAAAAATGTCATCATCATCGGATCCACTTGCTGATTATCGTCGTTTAGCAGCAGAGAGAAGAAATCGTTTATTAGGTAACAACAATACTTCTACTCCACCTCCATCACCATCAAATTTAAATAATAATAATAATAGTATATCATCATCATCACCTTCATCATCAAATAACACGACAACTATTAATAATAATATATCATCAAATACTCCTAATACTCCTAATACTCCTAATACTCCTAATAATAATATAAAAACTAAAAAATTAAAATTAATTGAAAAATCCAATGAAGAAATATTAAAAGAAAGAGAATCATTAATTCCAACAAATTTAATTTCAATTTTAAATCCAAATACAGAAAAAAAGAAATATTTAGAAAAATTAAATTCTGAAAATGAAATGATATTAAAAAGAGAAAGAGAAGAAAAAGAAAATTTATTAAAACAATTAAGAAATGATCCACATATAGGTAAAAAATCCAAATCTATTGATTATCCAAATATAGATAATAGTTTAAAATTAAATTCACCAACAAAACCAAATGAAATAACTGAAACTATATTTGAAAGTCAATTAGAAGAAAATGAACCATGTATTTTACAAATTAGATTTATAGATGGTTCAATTAGTAAAGTTAAATTTGAATCAAATGATAAATTAACACAAATATGTCAATATATATTTAATTCTGAAAAAGGAAAAGATTATAATGGTATTAAAATTAAAATACCATTATTTAAAATTAAATATTTTAATAATACAAATATGAATTTATATAATTTAAAAGAATTAGAATTAACTCCAAATGGTAATTTAATTATTGAAAATGATGAAAGTGAATTTGCATTTACAATTAATAATTTAATTCAAGATTTAAATATTAATCATGAATTAAATTATTTACCTGTTGAATATATTTTACAAAATTTTGGTTCATCCTACAGATTAAAAGGTGATACAATTGAAGAGAAGGAAAAATTTAGAAATCGTCAACGTGAAAAGGAAATTGAACATGCAAAATTAGAAAAATTAAAAAAAAAGAAGGAAATGGAACAAGTTAGAAGAAATTTAGAATTAGATAAAAAAGAAAGATTAGAAAAATTAGAAAAATTAAATAATTTATCATCCAATTCACATTCATCATCAGCTATATTTGATTCAAG